ATCGTACAAGGGCATTTTTGTTATTTCGTAGGTACTTAACGGTTCTGTAACGGAATGGGGGCAATGTGATATTTTATGTTAGTTCAAGGGTTTTTTTTTAATAATAGAGGGGGTTATATGTAGTTTTTGTAAATAACAGGAGAGTTTTGTGATTTTAACCCTCTTTTTTTCTTTTTTAAAGATTAGAGTACAACTGTATCAAAATGGAGTGTAAATATTGCCCCTCTTATATAATTTGATGTAAATCAATTGAAAATGGTGGGTGCACAAAGACTAACTAGGTCCTCGTGGCTGTGATAATACCACTCCTTGCTTTTTTTGACCTGATTGAGCCTTACGTGCTTGATTGGGGTATAGAGGACTCCAAAATTGACAACACTCGAAAGTATGTCTTTAATTCTCCTAACTACATATTACTTTCATTAAAACAATCAATCCATGTGTCACATGCATTGTACTTGGTGGGTGTTTGGGAGTCATTCTCTACTGCTAAAAAGCACTTCCATTTTTTAAAAATGCGGTACAATATGTTTGGTAAAAAAAAAAACTCTTAAAAATAGTAGAGGTTAAGTCTAAAAAGTGCGTTTAATTGAAGTTAAGAATCGTAACTTTTAAAACTGTGTTGCGGGTAAAGGTCCATGTTTTTTAGTAACTAATTTTCTTGTAGATAATTTAATCCCTTTATAATTTTTATTAATACAATTTTATCCCTTCCTACAAACAAATAGCAAACAATACGTGGGACTCTGTAACAAACAAAGATCCTACTTTATTTTGGACTCTTCAGCCGCCTTCCAATCTCAATAGTGCCGATATGCATCACCATAACTTGTATCGTATCAAGTATGATCCCTCCCTATGTGTACATAGCATGATATCAATAGCTCAAAGTATGAAGTTAGTAATACGTGGAACTCCATAACAAACAAAGATCCTACTTTATTTTGGACTTTTCAGCCGCCTTCCAATCTCAATAGTGCCGATCTGTATCACCATAACTTGTATCGTATCAGGTATGATCCCTCCCTATGTGTACATAGCATGATATCAACAGCTTAAAGTATGAAGTTAGTTTGGATGTGTTATGTACATGACTAGACTTTTTTTCCTGAATTTTACATGACTATCATTGTTGAGTTGCATATATAGTGTACTTTATTTATATAGTGTCATTTTGTTGGTCAGATTATAGTAGCTTCTTCAGGTAGTTCCCTCGCCTATTTTTATTTATTTATGTATTTTTTTCTTCTTAAACAACATAGTTGGTATTCTGATTAATTTTTGGAAAGTTATAATTACATTGAGTTAAGAGTTTTAATTATCACGAATGCCTAGTTTTAGTTTTTCAAAACAAGTTGTAATTGTTATTATCCATGACGATTCATAATTTTATACGGCGAACAATTATTATTGATGAGGAATTTCAACGCTATGATGAGAATTTGGATTTAGTGCTTGATGAATAAGGGAATAACAATGATGAACACCCATATGAGAGGTACATGGGCGATGACAATGAGATGGGGTTGTTCATGACCGTATAACTTCTCAATTATATAATTGTTAGATGTTTAATTTTTAATAAATTATGACTTGTAATTTGTCTTTAAAATAACCATAATACATTTATGTTATTATCTTAAATGACAAGTTATAAAATTATTAATTGTGATTAAAGTGTTTAGTTTTATTTTATAAAATGCTGTCTATATTACAAAATATTATATTATTAAATTTCATTATTAGATATCATATAAGCAAATTTGCTTATTTTATTACTGGAAGTCTCAAATCAAATACAAAATAATCATCATTAAGATATGTTTAACTCATTTATATTTTAGTACTCAATAAAAATTCGATATCATAAACAAAATATGTGAATACAAGTTCATCTTTATAAATCACTGAACTCAATGGAATTTTATAATATTTAATATTAGGGAATTAACATACCTTTAGTATAAGGGTAATATAGTAAAATTTGTAATAAAATGTTTTAAACAATATTATTACCAAATAATTTTTAAAATGTTTCAAGTATAAAAAGTACTTTATATAATGTGTTACTAAACGCCTAACGGCGTTTTACTGACGACACTTTTATAACAACTCTATTATTAAAAGTGGTTTTAACATTTTAACAGCAATCTCAAACTGACTCTTAATCACTTTAACCTCAAAATTCTAACGTGGGGTAAAGTAATTTGATTTATTTTTTTTATAATAAATTAAGAGTGTCTATTATCAAAAATAAGAATAAAAAACTAAATAAAATAAATGAGGAGGATATTTTATATCTCTGTTACTACAAGTTAATTTAGTACAATTTGGTCCAATCTGGTACACGAACACAAGGTTTCGAAGATCACGCTAAATTCAAGAAACGCAACACTCTAATACGAGAAGGGTATCTTTAGCATTTGGCTGAATATGATATCCCAGTAAGGTACATAGTACTTTTATTAAAATAATCAATCCACGTGTCACATGCATTCTACTTAATCATTTTAACACCAAAATTTTAACGTCAGAGATAAAGTAATTTTAATTTTTTTATAAACTAAGAGCGTTTATTATCAAAAATAAGAATAAATAAATAAAATAGTTGAGGAGGGTATTTTATATCTCTTGATAGTACAGGTTAATTTAGTAAAATTTGCTCTGATGTCATCAATAAATCAAGAAAAGGAAAAGTGTGCATGTTTTTTTTTCTTTCCCAAATAATATATAAATTCCTTGTTAAAGGCTATCTAATCTATCACGCGAGCACACAAAGATTGTGGCTTCAAATATTTAATAGAATGGAAATTATTTTTGCTGTGTAAGACCTTTTCACCACAATTGGCTTAAACAACTTTTACTTTCTTTATCACTAAAGAAACTACAATGAGGGGACATCATGTCAGCTCTTGTATTGCAAAAAATCTTTTTTGAGCCAGCCAACTCATCATTAGAGTATAATCCAAAAACAGGACTGCACTCAGGTTGGGTCTAATATATATATAAAATTAAGAAAACCTTAAAATAAAGAAAGAAAATTTAAATTCACCATCTTTGTCATCTGTTATGGTATAGCCAGACTCATGATTTGTTGATTATAATTCATGTAAAATTTTATTTTGAGACCCATCACATCTAATGACTCAGAACCGACTGTCCAAATTATCGTTACCCTAACCCTTATATTTATAATTCCCCACTTCCTGCCATGATTTTTTTTTGCAGTTATGGTTTATATTAATTAGTTTTATTGGCTTTTCTTGTTTGGTCCACCACTTGCACTAAAGGCAACAAAACAAGTCTACTAATAAAAAAAGGTGAGCCTTCATTTATAAAGGCTAACAGACAAGGCAATCCCAAAGGCATCACATTAAAGCCTCAGTTCAATGATCATTAATTTGAGTGGAATTCATTGCAAGTGTTATGGTAGAGGAGGGAAAAGGCCAAAAGCTATAAGCAAAATCAACTTTTGGCTTGTAAGAGACAAATTCTGTACTTTGTTTTATGTATTTGGTGGGAGGGAAAAAGAAGTTAAAAAGTTTCTATCATTTATCCAATAGTTTTCTGTTTGTTTCCTAAGAAAATCTGTTTTCTTTTTATGGTGAATTCAAATAAGAGCCCCACTGTAAGCCATTGTTTATTTTCTTGCCTTTACAAAGATTTGTATCATTTGTGACTGTTTTTTTTATTTTTTATTTTTTTATAACAAGATATCTTGCAAGTTGCAACAAGAATGTGAAATGTTACTTGGTGTAGGAAGACCATGTGATCTCCTTAGCTAGTGAATATATGCAAATGCTTGAAAAATGATCTCCCTAGGCTAGTGAATATATGCAAATGCTTGAAAAAGGCCAAGAATATTTTACTTGTTGCACTCCTTTTCCCCTTTGTTTTATGTAAACATTTTCTTGATTATTTTTCAGTAGTTTAGGCCTCATGGCTTACTTTGACATAATTTGCTCTACCTCCGAGTAGGCACTTAGAGTGATTACTCAGATACTTAGAGTGATAAGGGACTCAAAAAGGACTAAGATAACAATTGTAATGAGCTAGTTAGCCAGATAAAAGGATCGGAGTCGATCGGTTAAGATAGCAAAAACAATTTGTAATATATTTTTCTATTTGATAAAAAACTTAAGTTAGTGGGTGGTGTTGTGTCTATTATCACTTATAAGTTTAAGATTCTCCCTATTTGTGTCTAATATAGAATAAAATGCACTTACCACTTTAGACTTGTTAGTATAAGATGAATCTATGAAATGGTGAATTAACTTTAGAAGTTTAAAAAGAACATTAAACAATAAAATACAATTAAAAAAGAAAAAGAAAAAGACAAGAGTACCAATCTTGCCAACTTAGAACTAAGCACAGTAAGAGTTTGGCCATAAGAATGAAAAATGATAGTGAGCAAAATTAAACCCTGTTCAATCACTTGTGGTCATGTTTCCAGGTTGGCAGGTTGTGGCATTTCTTTTAGATAAGAAGGAATGTTTCCTTTAACATTGTTATTATCTAAACAGATAATTTTACCACCCAATAAATAAATATATATATATATATATATATATCAATTTCAAGTTATTATTTATACAGATAATTGTTTTTCTCAACTATTTGAAAATTAATTACATGAAATAATGTTTTATCAAAATTTTACTCTATAAGAGCCTTGAAGTAACTAAACTAAATTGATATATATATATATAAGTAAAAGAATATATTAGTTGAGATTATTTGTTTTTTTTGGGTAAATATAAATAAAAAATCAACAAGTTGAGATTCTTAGGTGGTTAGTTATGTCATTTTCTGGTAGACTGATTTCGACTTTTTCCAGTTTTGATATATATCCCGATTTTAGTGGCTGTGAGAAGATATATACCCAGATGTTTATGGTAAATGATAACAGAAAAATATAAATAATATGAAATTTCAAATTAAATTTCCATTCAATGCATTCTTATCTCTTACACCACACCTGGTAGATTATCTGAATTAAATTAAGTTCCCTCATTAATTAAAGTAAAATTATTAGACTTCTTTGGTCAATGAATTTCAAAAAATTTCAAATAAATACATCAAATGAAGTCTTATATGTGGTTCAAAATTTATTTATTTTTTCTTTTTTTATATGTATTATACAGAACTTTTTCACGAACATATAACATAACAGAACTAAACAAAACACCTTTTTTTTTTTTTGTTTGCAAAAAACACTAGTACACACGCTACATGCAAGATCAACATCATCATACAACGTCCATTACAGATTGACCCATTTCCACCGAACGATCCTGGCCGTTGATCTTGTCTTTCCCAACCTCCTCCTTCATCTTAACATAGATGCCATACACATAGGAACAAAACCCCCACAGAGACATGAGAGTGGCCACCACCTTCACCCCACCAAACTCCTCCCCGTACGCAATCACACCCCCAACCACATTCATCGCCATCAACGCCGTCATGCAGACCCCTCCCGTAAACGACGTCGTCAGGAACACCATCCCAGCCGTGCCCACGAAACAAAGCTGCCACGTCACCATGCTGGACCCCACCGTCACCCAGTACCCGTTGGGGCCCAGGTCAAACACCTTCTCACTCTCCACCCTCATCTCAGAAAATCCGCCGTCCGCGGCCATTCCAGCGGTAGCCAACACGGTGGCCGCCACCTCCATGATCAGCTGCATTTCCATCATCATTGAGTAGCAATAAACTTTTTTATAAATCCTGTCCATGACAGGGAGATAGAGAGCGAAGAGAACACCGGCGCTGATAGTACAGAAAAAACCTATGAAGTACTTTTTAGTGGTCAAGCCTTGGGGTCTGTCGTGCGCAGACCCCAAGGCTATTAAGACCGAACTCAGGGTTAGGAGCATAGCACAATTTAAGTTCGTGAAAGTGACTTTTTCTTTAGCAATGACGACAGATAGAATCAGCGTGAAAGCGAGCTGAGTGGATAATAGGAGGGATGAGGTCGATACCGGTAAATAAGAAGTGCCCCAAGAGAAGAGGAGGTTGTTGAGGCCTATGAGGAAGCCTACAAGGACGGAAATGACGAAGAGCTTTGGAGTGAAGTGAGAGAAGGGTTTTCTTGGAGTGCATTTGAGGAGATGGTGAGGGAGGTATATAGGGAGGAGGAGGAGAGGGAAGCCGGCGGATTGGACCCACGTCGAGACCCACCGGCTGGAGCCCTTGTGGATGAAGAAGAAGCGGGAGAGGAGGCTGGAGGAGACGGAGCCGACGAAGAGGCAGAGGTAGGTGGCTGCTAGGAGGATCATGTATTGCTTATTGTTGTTTGTTTTGTTGTTGGTGAACTTGGTGGTGGTGGTGGTTTTGTGCGGTTGATCTTGTTCATGCAATTGGTTTGATGAAAAATTGTTGTTCATCATTTCTTGGTGGTGGTGGTGGTTTTGGGGAGAGGAGACAGAAGCTGGTGGCGGTGGTGGGATTGAGACATCCATGGGGAGTATAAGAAGAAGGGGTTGAAATATTGGGGAGATGAATCTGAGTTGATGGGTGGAAGTTGATTAAAGTTTGAGGAGTATTTATTAGTATTATTAAGAGGGTCCTTAATGGGAAAAAATCTTCTCGGCCTGGTATTTAATGTCTCTTTTTCATTTGTGGAGGTTTGTTTCAAATAAATGTAATCTTGCCAAAGTCAGCACAAGATTACAAACTTTGAAGTTTTTTTTTTAAAAGAAAAAACAATATTCAATGTAAATGAGCAAGTTTAAGTGGGTGATAGCTATAATACGCGAATTGAATTTAAGATGGTAATGGTATTTTCTCATTTTGCATAAAGTCTGAGGACTCTTAAGGCTTTGTGTTGATAAGATGGAATGAATTTTTTTCAAGAAAATGATAAAAAATTATGATTTTATGAAAAAAAAAATTTCGATAACGGGGTGTTCATGTGATATGATAATTATTTGTTGATATGATCTGATATGATAAAGGATTATTCAGAATGAATATTCTATTTATGAAAAGAGATAAGAAAACAATAATAAGATAAAATGAGAGAGAGAAAGAGAAAAAAAATAATAATAATAATATGAACATAATATATGAACATATAGAGTAGTAGCAAAAACAAAAAATACTAAATACACATTACTATTTACTAGTTAAATGCTTATACCTACTTTTAATATATTGTACTAGTCAAATGACGACATTTGCTAATGTTAGCAAAATATAATTATAAAGTATATCATAAAAATTGCCCTTATTTTTTCAGTTTAATAACTCTATTTTTTTATTTAAATAATATATTAGTTATTAAGGGAAAAGATAAATCAAATTAAACTCCTACTTAACAAAGTCCTTGCTTTCCATCTCTTGATGTATCAAAAATAAATGATTTTTAATGGGACATACATTATTCTTCTGAAAAGTTACTAATTTATCCTTTTAAGTTTTGAATATTCAATTTTTAAATTTTAAACGATTTATATAAAAAGATATAAAATATATTGTTTAAAAAATATATATATATTATTTTAATACAATCCAAAAAAAACAGGATTAACGTTTTTTAAAAAAGAGAGAGTGATACATTTATTTCAGTCCTATCAATACTTGCCAATGTTTAATTAATGTGAGTATCATATTATTGATAATAATAGGGCATTAAAATTTATTTTCCCAGTTTTAGAAGGCATTTTCTGCCTTGAACCTTCCTCACACGTGCTCCATATATAGCTAGTGCTACTTTAGGCCTAAATTTGTTTTTATTTATTTATTTATTTTAAATGTGGACTATAGTCCACCCTTTCAAAATTAAATTTAATATCGGCCCTCAATGCCGCTACTTAAATGATTCTTGTACTGAATTTCAGTGAATTATTAGATATACTTTTTTAATTGGTTAATTATGTAATAAATAAGAAAGTGGAATTCTCCATTTAATTATATTTTGTATAAATAGTTTATTAAAAATTATTCGACTAGGCAATTCATGGCAAAGGTTTAGTGTTTGATTAACAATGTAACGTTAAGATATACTAGGGACAAGTGCATTTACCCAAAAAAAAAAAAAAAAAAACTAGGGACAAGTGCATAAAACACCCTAAAGTATATTTCATGTAATATTTTTACTCTTATTTGAAAAATGTGCAAAAAACACCCCAACTATTTATATATTGTGCAAAAATACACCTCAATAAAAAATTTGACATAAATTAATACTGTAATACCCGTTTTACCCTTTTACTATTCAAAAAATGTCCAACGGTTATATATGTAACTAATCTCATAGTATACGGGTGTTGTGTTCGCATAACCTTATATATATATTTTTGAAACTTTTTTTCTCTATATATATATCTCTAAATTTATTTTTTATTTTTTATTTTTAACTTTGAGAATTTGTAAAATAAGTGTTTGAAATTTTTTGATATTTCAGTTTACTGTTTTCTACTAAATTTTTTTTCTTCATTTTATTTTTTTTCGTACCAACACTGCTTTAAATAATAAAAAAAAAATCCTAATTTTAGTGTGCACTGGTTTTCGGAGTTTGAAGTACATATGTTTTCTTTAGTTTGCACTTTATTTTTATTTTTATCTTTACTTTTCTTTTATATTTTTATTTTTATTTTTTCTTGTCCATTGTCGTCATCCTCCAATAGTGTCTTTTTTGGTCATTCTATAAAATTATTTATTTTTATATATTTTATAAAATGGTTTGGTAAGGGTAATTTAGTCAATTCAGGGTTTAAATTTGTCAAATGGACCTTTTTGTACAAAGATGAAATTTTAGAGGTGTTTTTTGCATGCGAGGGGCGTTCTCCAATAATGCATTTTTCGATCATTTTATAAAATTATTTATTTTGAAATATTTTATAAAAATGGTTCGGTAAGGGTAATTTAGTCAATTTAGAGTTTAAATTTGTTAAAGTGACCTATTTGCACCAAATTGAAACTTTAGGGGGTGTTTTTTGCACGTGTACTGTAAACATACTTTAGGGATGTTTTTTACACTTGACCGTACCTATTATGTCTTATTCGACTAACAATGGCATAGTCGGGGCATAATAAATAGCAAACGAGGGTCTTTTTAATTTTTGAAAGTTTTTTTTAAGGCTTTTCGTAAATTTTTTAGGAGTTCAATCAGGGCACTTTTATAAGTATCAAAAATTGTATATAGAAAATAAAACTAATAGAAAATTCAATAGCGAATGTGGGTTCTTTTTTGAATTTTGATACTTAAAAATTTTGTAGACAAAAGACATTAGTCTTCTTTGAATTTTAAAAAACTTGTTGGACAAAAATGAGTTAAAAAATGATGAGTCTTTTTTAATTTTAGAAGTTTTCTTCAGGTCTTTTGTGAATATTTTAGGAGTTTAGTGAGGGCAATTTTATATACAAGAAATACAAATAACAAAAAATTTCAGTAAAAGCAATTGCCCCCCGTTGACTCCAACATTAACCGGAATTACTACATTCTCATAACTCCTGAAGTACCGAGTATTTTCTGGATAATGCAAGCACTTAGTTAGCCCATAAACAAATGTATTAATTATTAGTCAATTTTTTTTTTTTTGACCTTTTGACAAGAAAATACAGTCATTTTATTGAGAGCCAATGTGGGGGCTTGCTGCGCCCACTATGGATATGTATATATATATATATATACACACACAAGAAATTTAATTTACATCCTCCGGTTTCGGTCATATGTTACTGTAATTAAGTAGAGATGAGCCATACATACAAGGAAGAATGAATGAGTTAAGAGTGAAGTGGATAAAGCGACAGAGATTGTAGATTTGAGTCAGAGATTTTTAGTGTTAACAGATTTTGGAACAGTTTTACTGACCGACTGTTTTTATTTTATTTGACCACGGTACTCTACTTTTCTTTAAAGCTATGTGTGTGTTGGTTTTGGGAGACGAGAAGTGATACCCATCATTTATGTCTGGTACGGTGAGTTAAAGAGGGAACATAATATTAGTTACTATCAGAAGAAAAAGAAAGGATAATTTTAATCTTTAATGGTATTTGGTTAATTAATGAATCGAAAAGAAAAGAAAAAAATAAAATTATGTTTAGAAAAAAAAAAAAAAAAAAAAAGAAAAAGAATGGGAATAATTTTAATAAATTTACTATTATATCCTTTTATATTTTAAAAGATATATATATTGTCTAGGCCCATAGATCGGCCACCAGAAAAGCAAAAATAATTTTAGGGCAAATCATTTCAGCCTCCATCTCTATCGTTCTCAACTCTGAACTTGACTCCTCCCTCTCTCTGCAACTGTAAATTACGAAGTTTAAAACCCATATATTTCAGTTTATATATTTGTCTGCAAGAATCAAAAGTTCAAAACACATATCGGCATCATTTCAGATTGTTCAAAAAATCAAAACCCATATCGATTTTTCAGTTTCTATTGCCCGCTGTTCCAATTTAGGTTCACCATTCGCAAGCTTCAGCCGGCCCTCTTTCTCTCAACTCTTAAGCTTGTCCCCCTCTCTCTGTGCAATTGCTAACTTGTATGTATGGATTTTGTGTGTAATCAAGGACAAATTTTGCATCAGAAATCACTCACCAAGCCTCTCCTTCCCTTTCCTTCCGTTTTCACCCATTTTTAGGAGGTTAAGAAATATACTGTTGAAGTCTTGTGTTAACCCTCCAAACCCTTCCCTCTCTTTCCACCAATTTTACCCAAACACAATTTTTTAATCACTCTCCATCACCTTCCCTTCCCCTTTCCTCCCATTTTCAATCTACCAAACTGAGCCTAAATGAGTGGGTATATAATACTATTCAACAGCTTGAAATTTTGAATAAATGAATAAGTGTCTATTCGTTATAGTCGGTGTCAGAGTCAGACTTAATTCTTAAACTGATGTCACGCCAAGTACATGACCCGAAAAGCGTAAGGATGAGCACCCCGAATAGACAAGTCAAGGTGGTCTGACCGCAATTAGAACGTTGCGAGTATGGGTTGGAGAGAATGTAACAAATGTTATTTATCTCATATTAGATCCGGATAAAAAAATGGTTGAATATAAATATTTAGATATATAATAGTATTCATTCAACTGGTTAAGCATTACACCCATAATGTGTGGACTGTGGAGTGAAAAGGGATTTATTTGATTAAATTTTTATTTAATTTTAAATTTTGATGGCGGTTATAATCATTTAGTTTTAAAATTTAATTTTAAATTTGAAATGTCCGAAAAATAACAATAATTTTTTTTATTTATTTTTCACTGAAGTAGGCTCCCAGAATTCATGATAAAAAGATGTTAGTCCTAATTAAGAGAGACATGGTCCTCGTGAGAGTCTATTACAAGATCTACTCGTAGCCTCGTAGGTCACAGAAACTGGACAAGAGAGAGGACTTTATTGATTATATATAGTTCAGTTTGGTATCTTACACGTGTCTTTCTTCTTCTTTTGGTAAGTATGTTTCTTTTTTTACTTTTTTTCACGTGTCCATTTATCCTATTATTCTTCAATTTGGATAAAATATTTTTTTTTATAAAATATTTTTATTTTTTAAGTAAAATATTTTTTTTTTCAAACGAACTTATCAAAAATTGATGTATAAATTATTTTTATTAAATTTTAATATATTTTTCTTTCGTAAATATTTTACTACAATCAAATACCAAAAAATAATAAAAAAATATTTTACATTCAAACAAACGAAACCTTAGTCTTGTATTTATTAATTAAATCAACTTGTGTGGGACAATGGGAGTGGTAGAAAATATTTGGTAATTAATAAACATGCAATTAACATATTATAATAAATTTACATAAGTGATAAATAATGCAACTGGACTTTGAGTGGGGTCTTTTTTGAATGAGGCCTTAGGCAATAGTCTTAATTATTTTACGATCCAAGAAAATAGCGCATTTTCATGTTAGATACAGATAAAATAAAGTGTAATTACCCATGTTAGTTTTGGAAACACATAATTCGCGCCTTTCAATTGGAAATGATAGTAATAGTAATAATAATATGAAGTTCGAACTAACATTCCTAATTTTAGGAAATCAATATCATGCTAGAGCCTAAAATCAGTTAGGTTAGGAGATATGTTTTCGAAAAATAGACTAAAGTTTGAATTAACTTTCCTAATTCAATTACAACAATTCCATGCTAGTACAAGTAGTATATATTTACACATTCATTCCCCCCTGGAGTGAAGTCACTTCGTCGATTTCTATTATTAAGAAAAATGGAATATTAATAAAAATGTTCCATTTTCTAAAAAGGTGATTTATTTGTTGATACAAGTTTAATCACACACATGTAACTTTTATGCTATTGTATACAATTTGGGATATGCACAAATTCCCTGATCTTTAAAACCTCTTCATTGTTTGATTAGCGTCACAGAAACAGAAGGGAAATTATATTTATTGCGACAACGGACACTCAGAGTCCTTTCTTTATTTTTATTTTTTTCCTCTTATAATTAGTTTGGTTAGCATAAAGTAAATAGAAAGTAAAAGAATAAAATATTTAAATTTGTTAAGAGTTTGGTAGCATAAATGATAAAATTTTCAGAAAAGTAATTTTCTTGTAATTACTTAATTTTTTTTGACATAAAACATAGAAATTTTACTTTCCCGTGAAAATAGTGCGGTGCATTCATATCTTAGTTTTCTATTATATCAATGTCACCCTCCTTCACCTTCTCCACAAGCTTCTCTAACAAGTGAGTTTTCTTTCTTTTGTAAATTGCTTAGTACTAATTTAATTATATATAGTTTTATATGTGTATACAAAATTAAATTTTGATTGTATTTTTTTCTTAATAATTAATAATGATTTAGAGTCATATATATATATATATATATATATATATGAGTATATATATATATATTTTATTAATTAAACTTGCATCTATAATCACATATATCTAATTATTAAACATCAGAAGACAAATATTACAGTGTTCATTGTTTCATCTCATCTTTGAATTTGAAAATTTAATTTTGTTCATAATTCATGAAATATAATAGTGTCTCAAAAGAGTATAAAAGTAATCTTATAATTAAAAGGATAGTTTTGGGAATTACAATTACTTTATTTTCACTTTCATCCTTTCCAAACTCATAAAATAATATTTTTTCACAACTTATTTGAAAAAATTTCTTACTAACTAAATACACGATGAAAATTTGATTTTTTTTTCTTTTACTTTCATTTTGTATAAAAAATTTATATTTAATCAAACGGACCGTTAGAGCTCGTGTATCGGCCTCACAACACACGTACTTACAAATTAGGAGTGCAGTTCAAAAGCGAGACTTCAATAACTTACTTTATGAATCTCTGCCAATACTACTATGCCCTTAGTCCCTCTCCTTTCTGATCCTATCACAAGTGATGATGCGTTATAAGTTCGTAACCTTTTAAAATGTTGTGACAGTCCCATATCGCAACAAATAGCGTTGCCCAAAAGAGAAAAATCTCTTAATATACCAATCCATTACTCTTCAATTTTTGCTAGTAAGCCCAAAAACAATGTGCGTGTGTGAATTTTATAGCTTAGCTATGGGCCTCTCTCTACAATATATATATATGATGTTGGCAATTTGGGCCGCCCACCCAACTTCGTGCCCATTTTTACATTCGTTGTTTAAGATTAGACCTTCATCTTCAATGACCACAGGACAAAAGTTTGGGCCCGGCCCATGAGTGTGCGGGCGAACACGTTAAGGACAAATGACCTAACAGCGCACGTTAGAGTGGAGCCCCGAGATTCTCTTTTTGGCGGGAATTCGTCGGTTGCTCTTCTTATCTTCCCGCCAAACTCCACAGTGCGACTCAAAGCAACGGCGCGAAGTTCCATCAATTCTTACAGAGAGGCGAATCAAAGATCTGAATCAGGTTGTCAGTTTTTCGGCCGGCGGAAATGGACACTTTCGGTGGCGGATTCTTCGTCGACGAGAAAGCAGTTCGAGTCGAGAACATTTTCTTGGAATTCCTCAAGAGGTTGCTTTTATTTTTTAATTTTTCCTTCTTCTCATTCCAATTCATTTACTTATTTGTGTGTATGTGTATGAATATGTCTGATGTATTATTCATATGTATCGATCGTTCAGCTTTAGATTGGATCAGAATTCGAGAGAGCCCTTTTATGAATCGGAGATAGAAGCAATGAAGCCCAATGAATCCAACACCATGTTCATCGACTTCTCTCACGTCATGCGCTTCAATGATGTCCTCCAAAAGGCCATTTCTGAGGAATATCTCAGGTTTACAGTTTTTTTTTTTTTTTTTTTACAATTTAACCATAAATCAGAACCAAACCCTAATCCCTAAATTTGTATCTAGGAGTTCATTATTATTGTTTTTTTTTTTTTTTTTTTTAATTTATTTATCTGAAAACTGTAATGGGTTTTAGGTTTGAACCGTTTCTGAAGAATGCTTGTAAGAGATTTGTAATGGAACAGAAGCCAACATTCATTACAGATGATAACCCTAATAAGGACATCAATGTTGCCTTCTACAATCTCCCTTTAATAAAGAGGTATATATATTGGTATAATGAGAAAAAACGTGAGCTTTTACTTTAAAAAAGCTCAAAATTTTCATTATTACCGTTTTTATCTAATGTAATTGTTCTTAATTATGTTTTCCCCAACCCAAAAAATGGGCAGATTGAGGGATTTGACTACTGCTGAAATTGGGAAACTGGTTGCTGTGACCGGAGTGGTCACTCGAACCAGTGAGGTTCGACCGGAGTTACTCCAGGGGACATTCAAGTGCTTGGAATGCGCAACGGTCATCAAGAATGTTGAACAGCAGTTCAAGTACACTGAGGTTGTTAGTCTTTCTCATAACACTTCATTTTGTGCACTTCAGTGCTTTCAACAACATGGATTAAATCATTGCTTTGATGCGATTGTTCTTGTGTGTTCTGCCTAAACATCGCAGCCCATAATCTGCATGAATGCAATGTGTTCAAAGAAATCAAGTTTTGTGTTGCTTCGACAAGAGAGCAAATTTGCAGATTGGCAGAGAGTTAGGATGCAAGAAACTTCCAAAGAGATACCTGCTGGCTCAATTCCCAGATCATTAGATGTCATTCTACGCCATGACATTGTGGAAATGGCCAGGGCTGGCGACACGTAAGCTGCTCCATATACCTATTGTCAATGAATTTTAGATTTTGAACCCACAATTATTTCTGTCTAACTGTTATAATTCGACCCCTTATTTTTCTGCTGCTTTTTCATTGCAGGGTTGTTTTCACTGGCACCGTGGTTGTGATACCAGACATAATGGCATTGGCCTCTCCAGGGGAGAGAGCTGAAAGCCGTCGAGATTCTTCTAAGAATGCCACTGGTGGGCAAGAAGGTGTCAGGGGTCTTCGAGCATTGGGAGTGAGAGATCTCTCCTACCGCCTTGCCTTTATTGCCAATTCGGTACAGGTTGGTGATTGATTGGTTTGTTACTTAGTAATCACGCGGGTTACATTTACTTGACGGGAGTCCTTTCTTCTTCTTTTTTTCTTTTTTTTTTTTTTTCTTTTTTCTTGATTTGTAATGTAAATGCCCCTTTAATCAGGTATGTGATGGCAGAAGGGAAACTGACATTAGAAATAGAAAGGATACTGATGAAGATGACAACCAGCAGTTCACGGTTGGTTCTTTCACTCACTATTTATGTCAATTGTTATGTATGAACTTTCCGTTTTTGAGACTAATTGTGCACATTGGCTCGTCATAATTTAGAGATCCTTCTTGCTTAATTTTATAGAACCATACATTCAAGTCATCCATCTTACAAGAAGTTTATGATTTACTGATCATTTTTTTGAGCTGTTATGCTGTTAAATTGGGGTAATGTGATTATTGTTGAAGGATTTAAATATTAAAGTTACACTCTCTCTAATAGCTTAAGCTTTTGAAGTGGATGGTTGTTAACAATTATAAAATCTCAAGGCTGTATTTCTTAAATTCTCGTACCTTACCAAACCCATCAGCGAAAACCGAAGGGAAGATTACTTATAAAAAAAAAACCGAAGAGAAGATGGGGCAGTTCTTAAATAATTAATTACAGGCATACAACTTGTAGTCTTTGTCAGCTGTCTAGAGCTTATATATCCATATTATTGAATGGTGATGTCAATGGTTTCAACTTTAAAGTGATCGTGACTTTTTCTCTTGGCAGTCTTGGTAGCTTCTAGCATCCTAGTTCAGTCTAGAATATTTCATTGTTGCTATAAAATGACGTTCACTTGTTCAAATGCCTGTTAGGCCTCTGAGATGATCTCTGTGTCCATTTTGCAGTTTTAACTTTGTTGTACTGAATTAGTTATTTCTGTACAGACATATGGTGAACTCCAGTAATCCTCAGTTCTTTTTTTCTTTTTCATTTTTCCCCGGAGCAGGCGGAAGAGCTAGAAGAAGTCCAACGAATGAGGAATACTCCTGACTTTTTCAATAAGCTAGTAGACAGCCTTGCACCAACTATTTTTGGTCACCAAGATATCAAGCGAGCCATTCTGCTTATGCTTTTGGGTGGAGTTCATAAGTTCACTCATGAAGGCATCAACTTGAGAGGGGACATTAATGTCTGTATCGTCGGGGATCCCAGCTGTGCTAAATCTCAGTTCCTCAAGTATGCTTGCTTTTCATTTTTTATTTTTATAAATAGTTCTCCCTCTTTATTTAACAAATTAAGCTCTCAAGTCATGTTGTTCTATCTACCTCACAGGTATGCTACAAGTCTAGTTTCGAGATCTGTCTACACATCTGGAAAATCCACCTCTGCTGCTGGGTTAACTGCAACAGTGGCAAAAGAACCAGAAACTGGGGAGTTCTGTATTGAGGTAACATTCTATTTATGTTGCACTTTGTTCAGACTCTCTAATTTTGTTTAGTTTTTGTAATTGGGGGACATATATTGCACCTTCTAATGGACAATAAACTGTTTGTTTCCCATCTTCCAATTAAAATTGCCTTCCACTTTGGAAATGACAGAAGAACTTTTTTTCCTCTCTGGTAGTTTATATGAGTTGTTGCCCCAAGTTTGCATGAGTCAAAAGTTCTATTTATTTTGACCCTTAGGTTCTTCAAATTCAGTTCCATTATCATTGACAGTCCTTCAAAATCATAAAATAAGTTACTTATCAAAAAAAAAAAAATAAATCATAAAATAAGTTGAGGCAGGGAAATTTCAGTGAAGATCAACTGACTACAAAAAAAAAACTAATCTATGCAAAATACTAAAGCTAACTTTTTATTAAAAGATCAAACATATTAGACAAATCTAAACTGTTTATGACAGCTGAATGGTGAAACAGATATATGTAGCTGAGCCCAAATGTATGGGACTGTCCTTTTTTTTTTTTTGGCTGTGATAGTGGAGGTGTCCCCACCCCCTTTGTGGGCAGGACTATTCCCGTTGGATACACGGAATCACCCTGAAATCATGGGTATTGGGTAGGCCCAGGATGGATGTTTGATGCCCCAACAGTTGAACACAAGACCTATTTGTAATTGAAGAAGTAATTATTATCGAGTAATAAATCTAAACTTCTCATTTTCCATTTTATCAATTTTATGTTTTGTGGGGTTAAAGATACTTCTAATACCTTCCCCTTCCATCACAACTACAAAACTTGCTTTGGCGGTTGTCATCTAATATTTTTTATTTTTGTTCTGCAAAGTAATTACTTCTAATAAAGGCATTCCAAGCAGTGTGAAAGTACATTTTATCATCACTACACATTTGGACTGTCATCAATGATGTTTGTCAAACCAAAGTCATTCTATCAGGACAACTATGTGTTAATTTACACCCACAAGTGTAATTAAGAAAATAAAAGCACCCCCAGGGCTCCAAATCAAACAAAAAAGCAGCAGTTGCCTAGGATTGATGTTAAGGGAAAAGGATTTAGAAGACATTACGGAAATGGCACATGTTAGCAATCAAAGATGCGCATCAGAGTATAGTTTTTTAGCTCAAACCCACTGGAAAAAGAGGCAGACCATTTTACGCTTAGATCTGTCATGTTTCTTACGTAGAATAAAAAATGAGCAAATAAATAAGTCAACCGTACTTGCTGCACACTCTGTAGACAAGGAGAGAAATCATGATTTTCGTACGTAAAAATGATTTAAATCCATCAAACGTGGTAGAAATATTATCATTAAATTTAATTAAAATCCCTTGTTCAAATGAAAGAGTTGATATGGGAATGACAAACGAAAAAAGCTTCTCCTTCGATATTTCATAATTAGCACCCTAATCTCTTCAGAATATTACTACTTGTTTTCCATGTCTTCTGATGAATGATGTTTGAATGTTTTCAGGCTGGCGCACTAATGCTTGCTGACAATGGCATATGTTGTATTGATGAATTTGATAAGATGGACATCAGAGATCAGGTACCATCCATTCTAAGCAATCTTTCCTTTTGTATTTTGTCCTTTTCAGCTCCCCCCTTGCATGTTACACGTGGCAACTACTGATGTCTGATATGGAAATTAATATGAAGGTTGCAATTCATGAAGCAATGGAACAGCAGACTATTAGCATCACAAAAGCAGGAATACAAGCGACGCTGAATGCTCGAACTTCAATTTTAGCTGCAGCCAATCCCACTGGGGGGCGCTATGATAAGTCTAAACCACTAAAGGTGACAATATTATACTTGTGCCTAATATGAATTGTGTGTAGTGAATTTAAGATGTGCATGAGTTAGTCTACCTACAGTCAAGCCATTATTGACCATCAATTAGGTTCTTCATATGTATATTGACTACTGTGATATTTTTCTACAGTACAATGTGGCTCTTCCTCCTGCTATCCTTTCAAGGTTTGATCTGGTATATGTTATGATCGATGACCCAGATGACAATACGGATTACCACATTGCACACCACATTGTGAGAGTTCATCAAAAGCGTGAAGATGCTCTTGCTCCTACTTTCAGTACTGCACAATTGAAGCGTTACATTGCATATGCAAAGACTCTGAAACCAAAGGTTTGCACCTTGCTGTTTAATCTTTCTATGTGTAGATGCTATTTTTCGCATAGAAAGTTCATATCATACCCATTCACTTCTTTTGACCGTTTAAATGTTAATGCAGCTAACCTCAGAAGCCAGAAAACTGTTGGTGGATTCTTACGTTTCCCTTCGCAGAGGTGATACTACTCCTGGGAGTAGAGTTGCTTACCGCATGACAGTTAGGCAACTGGAGGCATTGATCAGGCTCTCAGAGGCCATTGCTCGAAGTCATCTGGAAGTTCAGGTGCTCTAGTTACCAAACCTTGAATTGCATCTTGACATTGTTATGTCTATTTATGCTCAAGTTGAGTATGTCTTTAATTTATAGGTGCACCCACGCCATGTACGCATTGCCGTGAGACTGTTAAAAACATCTATAATCAGGCAAGGAAATCATTGACTATGTCAACTATCTCTCTCGCACACAATGATTCATTATGTGATGGGTAATTTCTTTTGCCATGCAGTGTGGAGTCCAGTGAGATAGATCTATCTGAGTTTCAAGAAGTGAATCGCAACAGTGGTGATGGTGGTGATGATGGAAACAATGAATCTGGTCAAGCTGAGGCTCAGCCAAGTGGTGCTGCCTCGGACCCAGCTTCTGGGGATGCAGGTGGGACTGTATTACCAATATTACCTCCTCCTTTTTTTTCGGTGGGTGAGTTGACATTCTCAAAGGTGGACAAGTAAATCTATCTTAATCAGACTATCATCTTGCAGAAAATGGAGAAGGGCCTACAAACCGACAAGGAAAGAAACTTGTGATAAGTGATGAATATTTCCAGAGGGTAACTCAAGCCCTTGTCATGCGAATTAGACAACATGAAGAAACTTTAATGCAAGAAGGTAAAACATCTGCTCCTTTTTATCATCCATGCTCTCATATACGGAGGCAGGAAAACTATTTGAGATGTAATAAACCTCAAGTACTTGTTTCCTCTGGAAACTGTGTCAGAGTTACTAAAGCATGGATTTACTTCCTACAAGATTTAGTTTATGTTCCCAAGTCTTAAAATAAGGATTTTAGACCCCAGATGCCCGGTCCTGAATCCATAATTTGTGCAAAGTCAGTAAACCTTATAGACTTGTATCATTTTTAATCACCAAAATTTGTCATCATGAAATGCCTTGGGGTTTCTTGATGTTTATAGGGACTGGGCTGGCTGGAATGAGGCAGAGGGATTTGATACAGTGGTACGTGGCTCAGCAGAATGAGAAAAACACCTACAGTTCCATGGAGGAGGCAGCAGCTGAGGTTTCAAAAATAAAAGCTATTATAGAGGTAAATATATATTTACGTGGCACTTTAACAAAAATATATGGAATTTATCAATGGCTTGAATTATTTTATCACAAATGCCTTGTAATACAGAGCTTGATACGAAGGGAAGGCCATCTGATTGTCGTGGATGATGGTAGGCAAGCAGCAGCAGAGGGTGAAAATGCAATGCAGACTTCATCATCATCCAGAAATGACAGGATTTTAGCTGTGGCGCCTAATTATGTCATAGATTGATTTGGTAATGCTTCTAACCAGAAAACCCAAATCCTCATCCTTGGCTTAAAGTCTCACTGCGAGCTCAATATAATTTCAAACAGAAGCTGTTTTATTAGTGTTTAGTGCGTACAGCTTCGTTTTTCAGTGTTGTAGATCATGACAACTGGTTCGATGACCTACTTAGAAAGAGGCAGACTTTGGAACGCAAATTGGTATAATTTATGATTGTAAAATTTCTATGTGGTGCTTTTATAAATTCCATTTTGCACATTATTGTTTCATTGTAAATTAATCCCCATTATAAGTTTAAATTGGTCAAAGAAGTTTATTTGGTACAAAGTGTTTTGATTTATTACCAAACAGCCTAGGCAACAAGATCTAAGCGAAAAGAGTGATGTCTTTGAAATATTGCTCTCTCTTATTATTTTTCTCTGGTTCATTATTGATCATGAGAGTCATCTTCTACCAGAATAATCTTCAAAATATTTTTGCCGAATTAGCGTGTACATTGATTGCATGGTGAAACTAGTAAAACATTAGGGAGTGTATGGTGTACTGAACTGTGCATCCTTTGCAACTCCTTTCATTTCATTTCATTTCACTGCTTAGATTTCTATGGTGAGTTAGGAGTCATTTCTTACTCCGAACTCATTTACATTTCTTCTCTTACATGAATATTTTCAGTGAAATGATTCTTGCTGAAGTTGGAATTATAATCTTATTCAGGATGCATTTTTTTGTTCCTTACAGATTCACACACACACCATGCTCCTACCCGGACTTGAACCATTGATCTCTCCTCCGGGAGGTCGAATTTTGTTTTTGTCCAAATATATATAGATATATATTTGCCACCAAGAGCTACATGGATGTAAATGGGGTGGGCAATTTCTGGTTCAAGTCCCAACCTATTAAGGGGAAAAGAATGGTATCAAACTAAAAGCTTATGCTGGAGAAGTTTTTGTTCTTTCTTAATTAGAGTTTTAGAAACCTCAACCCTTATGCTGGAGGCTAACTTCATATAACTTGACCAAGATATTGAATAAACATGTTATGATCGAAATATTGAATAAACTTGTTATACAAGTATTATTTTACCATATGAGCATCTCCATAAATTGATTTAACTTGTTTTATATGAATAATACTATACAAGTCGATTCAGCTTGTACTGACTCTCTCAAATAAGTGACAAAACTCACCACTCGAGAGATTTACTATTATATGAGAGTTGGTTGATTCTCTCAAATAAGTGACAAGACTCACCACTTGAGAAATGACGATCAGCTTGTTATGATTTTTCGTATTTATATTGTTTATTTATTTATTATTATTTATAGCATTTTGTTTTTTAAATATGGTGCCACTACTAATCAAGAGAAAGAGAAAATAAATGAAAAAGAAAAGAAAAGAAAAAGAAACCTCAATTCAAAGCCCACAAACAAGTCTCTCTACCTTAATGGATCAACCCAGGTCGAATGGTAACATATTTCAACATCACAAGGATGTAGCGGTAGTTTAACAATTCAATTTAATATTAGGATCGAAGAACAATAAGCACAATAAATGATTGTCACAGCGTTTGACAAGTTTTTTTTTTTTTAAAAAAAAAAAAAAAAAAAAAAAAAAAAAATCAGATTACTCTCTTATAACTTAGATTAGGATACATACGTATTTTGCTAATCTATATATATATATAAATTTCATAGTTGGGTCATTAATTGGATGATGAAAGTTGTTGGAGATGCTAATCCACTTTTCTTTTTCAGAATGGCTGAAGGGACTAATCAATTGGTCATTATCAGAAAGAGTCTTCCACTCAAACGCTAAACTACGTCACTCTCTCTCTCTCTCTCTATATATATGTATGTATATATTGCTTTATATAAAATAATTAAAGTAATTAAAATATAAAATGAAGTAATTGGCACACAAAGACGAATTTGAAAGACGCCATCTTATCAGGTTGGGACAATATGTGTTTGGTCACACCCATGACCCCATAAATAGGGATTGAAACCCCATCAGCCTCAAAATGTCAAAGAAAAATATTTTGTATAATTGAAACCTATATATATATATATATATATATATATTATTAACAAAGACGAAAATATACAGTAACATATACAACAACATTGATTGGATGAAGTACATTTCACGTATACATTATTAGCCTAATAAATGAAGTTCGACTGATTCGTAGGGAGTAGTAATACGCTACGCAACAATTCATTTTTTTTTTTTTTCAAATACAATTCATATTCAATATCTAAAAGACAATACAACTTTTAGTTAGATTCAAAAATCTTAAAAAATGCTCTAATCACGAGAGCACGCACAAAAAAAAAAAAAAAAATATATATATATATATATATATATATATATATATATATAATCTGCTTTCTTTTGTTGGTTCTGTTTTGTTGTGTTTTGTTTGGATAGGGGGGAAAATGCAATCGAGTTTCATGGCATTTGATCGTCACTCCTTTTGACTCACCTCCAAATACCAGCTCCACAGTCTTATCCTTATAAGCCTCAATATTCAATAATTTTGAATATGTAATCATTTTATTTTAATAATAATTAATAAAAAAAGAAAAGTATCATATTACTTGTAAAAAAAATTAACATTTTGACTGATTCTTAGGCTTAGTGGGGCGTAAAAGGTTAACACATCATGTTATTATTAAATTTTGCGAATCATCATTATTAATGAACCTCTAATGTATCAATCCAACTAATATTTGAATCTTTTCTATATAAAAGATTTCATTGGGTTCAATGTTAAAGTGTTAATGCATAATTCAAAATTCGAATCAATAAGTTAGTTACTTGAACGACTTTAAATTTAATTTTGTCGTATGTTTTCAGTTGCCTGATTTTTTTTTTTTTTTTTTTTACAGGAGTTTATTTGGCACATTTCCGTTAAGAGATATTAGGTGTGTTCAAGTCTGAGACTCCTTCAATCATATTCTTCATCTAGTTATTCTTATCTCATTGTAACTCATTATCATTATTTATTTAAATTTTTTTGGTATAATGGTTTAGGTAACAACAACTAGGTGCTGCAATATAATGTATAGTAAATAGTTTTCCTTATCTTTTCTAAGGTCATATTATGCAACTGACTCATGTGCATACTCATTCGAGTACCCCTCCTTTAAGAAGAGGCAGTCCTTCCTAACTTCCCTTAGCTCTCCCCTTTAATAAGGGGCCTCGTAGTTTCAAGCTTAACTCAGCTCATTCCTTTAATAAAGGGTTCGTAATCCCGAACTTAACTTAGCTTGTTCTCTTTAATTTAAATTCTTAATATATTTATTTTATTTTATTTAAATTTTTTTTTTTAATTGATACTCACACACATGTGTCTTTTCTGAGATTTGAACTCCTAACCTCCCTTTGAGAGGTAAGAGGCTAATACCGTTAGGCCACTGGCCTATTAATTATTTTATTTTAATTTAAGTACTAAGACACTAATTTTATGTAACCTAACATGGTTTATAAATAATGTTGATAATGAAAATTTTTCGGGAAAGAATACGGATACAAATATAATTGTTGGCATTATTTTGCACTACTCAAACATGCATTCTTATGCATTGTCCAATCAAGGTTTTACTATTGTACCAAGTCAAGACTCCTAAATTCAATTTCCTGAATAAAAAAAAAAACACACACACACACACAGTCACTCCATGGTTGGGTATGGGTGAGTTCTAATTTGGGCTAGCTAGTTCAGAACTCCTTAACCCAAGGTCCTGAACCCATTAACAATATGAGTCTAAGACTCCATATAGACTTTGAATTTTTTTTCCCGGCAAAAAAATAGCAAAGAGAATAAGCATCGATTAACTCTCTATTAGTCGTTATGAAAACACCAAAGTGTCATCGAATTCCAAAATAAGAAAAACTACATTAATTTGTCAAACAAAACAGTAGTTAGCTGTAACATTCAATGCAACCTAGCTGTTTATTTCAATTTGGATCAAGAATTTAGAAATGCAGATTTTTCCAAATAAAAAATAGAACAGCTTCTAGTGACCATAACAGAGAACATATTAAAGGAACTGTACTGCACCAATTGTTGTCATGTGGGCTATATGGTGCTTCTGATGTTGAAAACACTCAAAAAGCCCTCACTGATCACACACAAAGGTCATTTTACTGTGTCAGGTATATGTCTTTGACCAGTATAAATTCAATATTTACAAATATAAAATTAAATATAAAATTTAAAAATTAAAAAAACAAAAGAAAAGGTTGTTTGTTACTTTGCCCTAGAGGTATGCATGAGAATTGTCTGGCATTAGATGCAGCAGAGATAGCTAATGTTTGTTGGCACTTCTGACTTTCTCATAATCAATGATGGTCCATGCCATCTCTTGTGGAAAGCAATATATATAATTATACACACACACACACACTATATATCCCTCTTCCCAAACCCTTTTTTAGCAAGTTTGGGTCAAATAATTTTATTGGTATTACGGGCATTATTTAGTGACTTAATTGTTAAAGCGCACAACTACTTTTTGAATAGGTGAGCTCGTACGTATTTGAATCTCTCATCACCTAATTTGTTAGGAAAAAAAAAAAGAAGAAGAAATTTTATTACTTTTACTAGTCATATAACCAATGTGTTGCAATTAGAATTTACATGAAGACAACCTAATTTTTTCGCCCTGGTTTTCTTATGATGTTCAAGTCTTTGAAGAGTTGAGGATTATGCCACAAGGAATTTGACAATTTATGCAGTGGTCTAGAAGATGTTGCCAACTGATGGAAGCAAAGAAATAATGAACAGTGCAATATTCTATTTTTGCAAATATATTGACCTCAATAAGACATTAATTCACATTCTTATACTTCTATCTCTTAATGAATTTAGGTGCTGAAAGGGACACAAGACATTAATTCATACCTAATATTTTTCATTATTTGCTTAAAATTATTACAAACTCAAGTCCTCAACACCAAATTAAATATACACATATATAGGGAAGAAAAAAAGAAGCAGCTATGAATGTCAAAACATTCTTTAGCTCCATTTGTTTCGATCTAAAATATTTTTTAGAAAATATATTTTTATTTTGTGATGTTTGGTTGTTGTAAAATACTTACGAAGAAAAAAAAAAATTAAAACGTAACGAAAATAACTTACCCATCAATATTTGGCAAGTTATTTCAGACATTTCGCTCAATGGACTCGATATCAGTCTCAACCTAACCTTTGTCAAATACCAAAAAAGTATAAAGATATATATATTTTACCTAAAAAAAAAATATTTTAGGTCGAAACATGTATATGGAACCTTAGTGTCTTTTGATTTGCAATGAGAAATTAATGATCTTCCTGATTTTACAAAAAGGCATGATAAAACTACGAAAACAGTTTTTAGAAAACTGAATCAGACAGAGTTTCTGTACAACCTTTTGTTTTCAAATTTCTTAAAACAAAAAAGTGTTCTAAGAGTTATAAAATTCCAAACACTGTTACAAACCAAACAGGACCTTATGTGTCCAATCGACACGAAAATTTAAAACATACGGACAAACTAGAGATTACTATTACCATCCAAGGAGCTAGAGATAACTACTACCACTCAGATGACTTACAATTCACGATGGACAAAGAAAATGAATCGTTTCATAACACTACCGCTTTTAATTACTTTTATTAAAATTAAATACAAAGTTACAGTGGCTTAAGGGAATCCAAAAAACTGTTTTCAATAATCACAATTTTTTTAAAACAAATATTATTCTTTTAATTTAGTTTTAGATAGTCATAAAACTCAAATATTTTTTTGTACAATTTTTTAATTTTCAATCCTCAAAATCCATAAAAATCGAATCAACCCTTTAAATTTTATTTCTAATTTCAAATAAACATAGGATCTATATAATTTATGTGACAATCAAACATGCAAGTCTTGCAATATATGAGCAAATAATGTGGTGTTGTCCACCACTATAGTAGTATCCAACACCAAATCAAAATATTCTTAATCCTTCAAACCTAAGCCCCACCATTTTACTAATCCATGTTTCTTGTCTCCCACTCTTTTGTATATGTTTCTCCAAAAACACAAAAATTTAATCAAACCCATGTGCATGCAAGCTATTCATCTCTCATATACACACATACATACATATATATACATAAATACATTAATACACACACACATACAAGTATTGACTATTGATTCCTTGAATGAATGCCATAGACTATTCAATATCATAGCATAGTAAAGGGAATCCAGCTATCGACCGTTGTCCACATCATCGGATGGCAATCTCGTAAATTATTCTACTAAGTGAGGGCAAATTAAAATCATGAGTCCTTGACGGCGTGATTGTAGTACCAGCGAAGCCACGTGACAGGTTATAAAAAGGAAATGCTATGTACAGATCAGCATTAGGTTTGTGAGGACCCCAAATTCGATATTTGCCACCTATGGATGTGATTATTGCCAGCTGTCACTCCCCCACCAAATTTCCCATTCCATCCCTCAGATTCCCACCTATTTACCAACCCACGCCCCTCCCGCCCACGAATCATTTCCATCAATCAATCATGCCAAACCTAACACTTGCATCACGTGGACGGTTTTGTCCCTGAGCGGGCCTTCACGTGTTGGCTGCGAAAGCCGACAGAGAAGGGTAGTTCAGGTCATTTGGGACAGACAGATTGGCTTTTGTATCTATGAATTAGTGGGTATTCTTGTAATTAACTCCCAATAAAGTGGGCTTTTTGAAATTTGAACTTGTATATGTTATTGACACGCCCAAGGCTTACAGAGACCTTATATTTTGTCTTAATTTGGTATCACAGTTGGATACAAACAGTTGCCCTTTGAGATCGACTTTGATTAGGATACCACAGGCATCATATATAGAGAGAGAAAGAGAGAGATTGTGTGTTTGTGTGTGTGAGATAGAGAGAGAAAGAGAAACATTTTCTGTAAGTTCTTCAGCTTTTTGTTTTGAAATTTTTGTGTATGCATGATTTAGTTGTTATATTGTTTTTCTTGTTATTTCAATGAAATATTGTTACCCAAATGGTTAATTTTCTTGTTATATATATATATATATCATATCATATCATATCACATCTACTGAGTTATTGATACTGATCTTTGAATATATATGTATGTGTGTGTGTATTTGATTGTGTTTAGGGTTGATATAAGTTGAGAAAAGAGATGGGTTATTGGAAATCAAAGGTTCTGCCTAAGATCAAGAAGGTTTTTGAGAAAAACGGTACAAAGAAGGCTGCTGGTGAAGCATGCAAGTCATTCGATGATTCTAAGGTAATTTTTATTAATTTTCTCCAGATTTTTCATTATTTCTTAACTAGTATATAAACGTATTATATATATATATATATATATATATATATATAATTTATAGTTAGACAAAAATGGAATTGTGATGCTGGGATCTTGGGTAGAGACGGGGGATATTTTAGTAGGTAAATTAACGCCCCAGATGGTGAAAGAATCATCGTATGCCCCGGAATTGTTTATGGTTGTTAAATTAGTGTAATATTTGATTTTTGTTGTTTTATGAATATTCAGGAAGAGTATAGTAAGGAGTTTGAAGAGAAAAAGACTGAGCTCCAACCAAAAGTTGTTGAAATCTATGAAGCTTCATCAGCTGAGATCAAGGTTAGTTTTCTCTTTCTTTTTGGACATGGAAATATATATATGTGTATATATTTATACATGCATATAAAAAAGCAACAACTATATATATATATATATATTATTTGGTAACATAAAAAAAAATTACATATATTTGTGCATCTGTATATATATACAGATACATATATGTAAACAAACTTCCAATACTAATATATTTTTCTGTCCCAATTAATGGTACAGACTTTGGTTAAGGAACCCAAGGACGTAGGGTTGAAAAAGCACTCTACTGATGTTCAGAAGTTTCTTGATGAGCTCGTCAAAATAGGTAAGTAAAAGATTTGTCTGTTTTAGTTTTCTGCTAAATGGATTTTTATTCAGAAAGAAAAGGGAAAATAAAGTCATACAAAATCTGAAGTCTGGGTCGATTAATTTCTCTTAAAATAGTTTTTAAAAGTCAGAAAAAGTTTTGAAAGAACCGACAAATTGTTTTCCAAAATTAGGCTCTTTTTTCCCCTCTTATTTTATAAAAGTACTATTTTTTTTTCCTCTCTTAAAGGTATTTTATAAAAGTACTTAACCTTAATATTTTTGTATTAATTTGTGAAAAAAATTGCTTTTTATTCTTTTGTTTATTTATTTTTTCTGAGTCTTAAATTAAGTTTTCTAGGTTGAATACATATATTTGCTTCTCTTTTATTTATTTGCTTTAATATTTGGTTGAATTCCTGTGTACCATAGAGTTTCCGGGATCAAAACCAGTCTGTGAAGCAGCTTCCAAGTTCGGGCCATCACTGGTTCCGGGCCCAGTCTTCTTTGTGTTCGAGAAGGTGTCGACGTTCATCGTGACGGAGGTGGTGGAGCAGCCACCGGCAGCCGCCACTCCAGCTGAAGAAGAAACAAGTGGGAAAGAGAAGGATATAGTGATTGAGGAAGAGAAGAAAGAAGAAGTAGTGGTGGTGGCCGAGCCCGAGAAGGCCGAAGCGGCCGAGGCGGCTCCACCACCCAAGGCGGCGGAAGTAGCAGAGCCACCAAAGCCATGACCCACATGAAACAAACAAGCTAGAGGTGGACTTAATCAGTGTGTCAAAGTTTACATAAAAAAAAAAGAAAAAAAGAAAAAAGAAAAAAAAAAACATAATTTGTTATTTTTTTTTTTTTGGATATTCTCTGTCCCTGTCAATCCTTCTTGTCTGCATGATTGTAACTGCTACAGTCTATATTTTGCTTTGTTTTATAAGCTTTTTCATGTTTTTGTGCATTAATTGGTTATGTGAATTTACATTCTTGAGAGAGGAGCTGAGCATTAGTTATCAATTTTCACTTCTCTCTATCTAGCTAGCTGTCATTATTTTTATTTTTATTTTTGTTTTTAGGTAAATACTATCTGTTATTATTTGTCTCACATGAACAAAAACAATTGTATATATGTATATATATACTTATTTGATTCTCTCTACACGCGCGCGAATTGGACCATAACAAATGTGGTAAGATCATCATGTACAGCTAAGGGAGTACATAATACATCAAAATCAAGAACAAATTTACACATCCATGCAAACCAACAAACATAGATTACAAAATTAGGTCTTTAATTGAGTTGCAGATGTATAAGGTGTCTCCGTCCCTCTATATATATAGATATTCACACACACACACACACCCATATATATATATATATATATAGATTTTTTAAAATCGCCTTATACCACAGTTCTGTTTTGATAATTTATATGTAATAGTAATATATTTTAGCCATTAATTATTTTTGTTATTTAACAAGAAAATGACACCACTATAACAATTAATTGCGTTTCTTACTTGTAAACCTTGGTCTAAATTTGACATTTTAAATAAAGATTTTATCAAATAAGACGGCATAATCAAATAAAATAAGTCTAATAACACAGTGGAAAAAGTTAAAAAGAGAGAAGAATAAGCATTTCTCATTTGAACCCTGCAGAGGACAATGAAAGTACTGTGCCATTTTAAATTCTTCGCTGTATGATTTAAGATTATAATCACTTTCTTTATCAGATCTTGTGCTCAACTCAATAGTTAATTTTCTACTATTGTTATCGATTTTTTACTTTGAAAAGTAAAAAAATATTACTATAATATTGATGACGTTACTGTCTTATTAATAATTGAAAGAGAAAAATATTATTCTTTCTTGTTTGCCATGCTCAAATTTTGGAAAACCTAAACTGACAGTGATAGACAAGGTGTAATTTAAATTCTCTTCAAAGTTCAAACAATAAATGCCACGTAATTATGATCTTGGTTTCAAAAGTGAAAATCAAATATCAGAATAATATTTGTGGATGAAAACTATTTTCATTTCCAAAAAAATATACCAAATGAATGAGATAGCTCCGCATGGGTCCACTTGAACTCATTCAATGATTGAATAGCTTCGCCATCCTTCATTGAAATCATCATTTTGAAATGCTCCTATGTAAACCTATGTCCTTTGATTAATCGATTTATTTATAACTAAGATTATATAATAAATATTTTAAATTTAAAATTAAAATTTTTTAAATATATTTTTAATGCTACCACTAAAAGAAAATAAAAGATATAATTAATTCAAACAAGAGTCGTCACTGCTTAACTAAGCACTATCTTATTAGTGAACTTAAAGGATGGAGTGATACGCAATCCAGGCTTTCTAATAACATTTGTACGGAGTATTAAATTGTGGGGCCACTTTTCTTAGACAACCAAGCAATTCAAACCAAAGGTGTTGTCTACACACAACAAATTGAATAGTACTATATAATAAGATCAGTTTAATCCAAGTGAGCAAAGCAATTACTAATACTTTTGATACATATATGTGTTACTTCACTTTTGTATTATACTTAATTTAATTCATGACAATCAGGTAGGGTGGCATCGTGTTTGTGTCGACACAATTATAACATAAATATGATTAGAGTCGATAAGAACACAATATGATTATTAATCGTGTCAATATATTTAACACGAATACGACACGATTATTATACGTGTAATATGACACGACACGCGTAACTCGTTTAATAAATAAGTCAAGACTTGGTACGTACGATACGAAAAGATACATTTAAGTCATTTTTGGCACAAATACGATACGTTTATTAGCTAAATGTGTCATTTTTAAACCGAATACGACACATTTATTTTACACGTTTAATTAATCGGATTAATCTTGTCATAATCGTTTTAGCAGGATCAAATACGAATACAACATGTTTAGTTAACAGGTCAATTCATATTGACATGATTATGACACAAATATGATTAACCCAAACCCAAATCTTCTTATCTTATGTCATGTTAGCGTGTCGTGTCAAATATTATCACCCTTACAATCAAGTACAAAGAATATTTATGTCATTTAATTTAAGAAAAAAAAGAAGTGAAGTGACATTATTGTTCATATTCAATTCATGAAAAATCAAGTATAAGAGGCATTTACATTGTGTAGTTTAAGATAATAAAAAAAAGTTTGTTTATAAGAAGGTGAAATGCATTTATCACCTCCACATATATATATATATATATATATATATATATGGTTTTTGAATACTAATTAAAACTGATAAATGTATATTATTTCATTTTTGGGGGGTAAAGTGAATATAATGTATTATATTAACGTTGTTACAACTGTTATTTGATGGATATCAATATCTCAATCATTATTGTCATTAGTATTAATTACTAGTATTTAAGTTGATGGTGGCCCATCAAACCTGGTCACAGCTAAGCTAGCATTGAGTGGGGAAGGAGTTTAAGTGTTGCCTTAGCAATTCAAATTGCATATATATATATATATATATATATATATATATATAGATAGATAGATATATCCTCCAGCAGTCAACATCCTTTCCAACTCATAAATGTTTCATACTCTACATCCACTGACACAACAATATTCTACGTACTAAATTACAAGACATCTTCTATTGCAATAATTTCTTTACAAGTAACACAAACAAATACGAGGACCAAAAGTAATGATAGCTATAGACATCCCTTGTACAAGTACATAAACATTACATATATATATGTATATTTGAAATCAAGTAAAGCCCGTCGTCTTTTATTTTTATTTATTTATTATTTTTTTTCACATTTTGAAATCAAAGTTGAAAAGGAAAAATATTTCTCATATATGAAAATTGTTTTTAACTTTTTGGACTTGAAAATTATTTTGAATAATGTTTTGACCAGTTTTTTCAAAATTGAAAATTATTATTATTATTTTTAAACACCAGGAGTTGTTTCATGGGTTTAATGAAACTTTTAAAATATTGAGCATGCCGTTTATAAATGAGAATGGAAGAGGGGACAAAAAAAAAAAAAAAAAAAAAACAAACACTTAAGTAAATGTTGATTAGAGGCTCGCATAAAAGAATTTCAAATTATCTTCCCTCTCGATATTAAAAGTTCTTTGAAAATATTGTTACCAAACAGTAATGCATAAGCCAAATCAGGGACAGATTTTTTATTTTATTTAAAAATATAGTACTATACTCTACTATTTAATTCATTTATGATATATATACTTATGAAACTACACCATTGCCCCAACTAAAATTATTAAAAAATTACATTTTGCCCTCCTCACAATTTTCTTGAAACGTCCATGAATCAAATACAAGTAATAATTTATGCTTTTCATTTTTTTTTTTTTTTTTTTACGTAAAAATATAAGTCACGTCAAACGAGCCATCGATATCAATACCTAAAATAACATGTTATATTTAAGGTGGCTGAGCATTAAGCAAGAAGCCTACATCCACCCAAGTAAAGAAGAAAAATAAATCTATGATATGCATTACAGATAATTATAAAAATATACACTTATCTATTCACTAGCTCTATATATATATATATGTTGTCTCCATTTTACTAGCAATCTTTAAATATTGTACGAGGTGTAGTTAATTCCTAATTAAAATGGCTTTTATTCGACGGATAACATGATAAATTATTGTATCAATTCTTGTTCATCCATCAACTTAACCTGCCACCTGAGATGAGTACAGTTGATGCCAATTCCCCAACAAACCTAATCAGCACTACACTAATATATATATATATATATATATATATATATATATATATATATATATACGCACACAGTACAAACAAGTTAAGAGGACAAAAAAGGACCAACTCCAACGTCAGCTAAATAAAAATGACAGGTCTTTTCTTTACTCCTATGAAATCACTCTCTGCATGTTTATCCATTTCTATCTTCTTCTTTATTTTATTTTATTTTTCATTTTTACTTTGTACTGTATATGTAAGTCTTGATTTCTTTATTCATCATCTGGTGATTGGCTGGAAAATTTTGAAAATTATTGAAGGAAATCTGCTGCCAGCTGGCCAATTTATTTTATTTTATTTTGCATATGATTTTATATATTTTCTATGATTATGTTTTTGTGGTAATTATTTCAGTTCAAAATCTTCATCTTATAATAGTACAAGGTTGTTTTCACTAGGATTAATTATTGACTCCGTCACCATGCATGGTATTATGTGAAATTCATGTACCCTACATTTATTTAATTAGAAATGCTTAGGTGATGAATTGTATTTAATTCTAATGGGTTGTGTGATCGGGAGATAGATATGTGGGCCCGAAAGCTGTAAAATCTAAATTTTGCAAGGTTCACATAAAATATTTTTTTTTGTGTTTTCCTGTAAAATATTTATAAAAAAAAAAAAAAGAATTATTAAAACTAGCAAAAGTAACTTATTTATCAAATTTCGACAAATTATTTTACATATTTCTCTCAATTGACTCGACTTCAACCTCGACTCAGATCTTTGTCAAACAGTGAAAAATGAATATATATATATATATATATATTTTACTTAAAACAAAAAATATATATTTTACGTCGAAACAAACGAAGTCGCAATGATTGTGAAAGCAAAAGCTGAGTGCAAAACATAAGAATGGAAGCTTACATGGAACATGAGAGTAGCACTCTTTAAGATTGTGTGACTTGCGACATGCTACTCCTAACCAGAATGTTCTAACCCAACTAATGTGAAAATTTTTCTGGGCCGAGTTTAAAGGATTTATTATACATATTTGGGCTTATTGGTTTGATTTGTAGGCACAAAATGAGTTCCATATGGCTTCAGAGTTAACCTGGCTTGGCTTGGGTTCAAGTATCATTTCTTTTTCTTACATATGCCTTTTTCAAACTAGACCTAACCCGGCTTAGGTTGAATTACAAGGTTGGAGGTAGGTATTAGGTTAATGAATTATTATTATTATTATTATTATTATTATTATTATTATGTTGTTGTTGTTGTTGTTTTCTTTTCTTTTTTCTTTTGCCTGTAGTTATGATGATCATGAAAAATATTTCAAAGAAAAAACATAAATCATAATGGGTAAAATCGTATAATTTTCCTCGAAAGAATCCAACTAACCATGTCAGAGAACCAAATTGTGCATGTAGTTTTGCAAATTTTTAAAAAATGTGCTACGTTTTTTTTTTTCCCCTGAATATCGAAATAATAGACTTACAGACTCCGAATTTAAGTAGTTGGTCAAGTGACTTTGCACATAGAGTACATCAATTAACAATTAAAATGTGTGTGTGTATATATATATATATATATTTATGTAACGTGTGCTTTCCTGGATATTATCTAATGTCCCTGCCATTCAAGAAATGTAAAAAGCAGGTGAATTCATAGTGACATCTAGTGACATTTGAAACTTGGGTTGCTAGCTTAGTTGCCCTAAATTTGAAATTAGCATTTTTTTTTTTTTTTTAAGAATATGTGTATCGATCCCGCGACACAAGCATCATTTAAGTTAGGAATATAGTTCGAAAGCGAGACTTCAAGGATTTATCTTCCGAATCTCGGCTAACGTCATTATGCCATTGGGGGCAATATGAAATTAGTATGCAATAACTGATTTATTTATTTATTTATTGTAGGGTAGTACTCATGCACACATTTTACAAATTGTCAAAAGTGACTCGGAGTCTAACCAACCTCTCACCTCTGCTTTGAGCTTTTGAGGGAAGAGTGATTATACCATTGGACTAATGGCCCATTAGTTGCAATATCAAACCCTTGTTGACCAACAAGTTTCTGGATGTTCTTTGTGAGCACATACTGTAGTGGGCTAGGCCGTTTGTTCTTTTTTCATGGGCCAGAAAGTAGGCCACAATCCAACATTAGCCTATGAATGTCCGGTAGTTTCAAGTTTTGAACAAATACACACTGCTACATTTACATGAAATATCATTTTTATCTCCAATTTCATAAATAAGAGAATCAAGCATTAACAAGTTTACTAACACGTTTCTCATTTGCTTTAAGCCAAAAATAAAAAATGGAGTGCCGATATCGTCTTCGTAAAAGGAAAATGTTACTTTCGGACATCGTTTTATAACAATTGACAATGATAAAAGGTTGGAAAAAAAAAAAGAAAAAAGAAAAAAAAGTCATGTACGAAAATTCAAATTTCGAGGAGTTATAATATATTATTTTTACTTAGCTTATGAAATCAATTTAATTCCATGAATATTATATATATATATTTGTCAGGGGCCATGGACAGCCGTTTTTTAGGATCCAATTAAGGAACAAAGCATGCTAATATATCCAAGAAAAACATCATTACGGTGTCTCCACTTATCAATCTATTTTCCTCCAGTGTTTTAGGACAAGACATTTGTTTTTTTTTTTTTTTTTTTTTTTTCTCTTGAATTTCATTGTCAACATGGGAATAGTAATGTCTCTAATTATTATGTCAAACTCTCTCCCTCATCGAATTGAAGGACTTTTATCCTATTCCTAGCACCATTTCAAACCCTTTTGTTTTTTTGAACCCTACCGTTGGATGATATAAATAATTAATTTGCATCCCACTCCACCGACATAACAAAGTGGGTCATTCTAACAAATGCACATTAGTCCATATAGAATAAAGTGTTCCGGCTCTAGCAAGGACAATATTGTAGATGTGTACATGTTTACTTTAACTTTTCAAGAAAAATCAAGATTATCATAAAAAATACCTTAAGATTTATTTGGTTTGTAATTATGAAAACAGTTTTATGTTCTTCCGAATATTAAAAACAAAAATTTCTACTTAATTCAGTTTTCCAGAAAACTAAGTTATAAAAATGTATGTTTTCAGATAATTATAAAAGATTATTTTTTGAATTTTTGAGAACTGTTTTCAGAATTCAAACTAAGGAGACCTGTAATTTCTTCTCTAACTCTACGTAAAATTGCAATGATCTATATAGGCCATCACAAAATGTATTTGGAGAAAGGAAAAGAAATACAATAAAGAGAAAAGAAATGCGACTAACTTCAACTGAGTAGTTTGAACGAATTACTCTACTAATTTAAAAGGAATACATTATTGTGTCAACTAGATTATACTTATGAAGCCTCTTGATTATACATCTATTTAAAGTTATATATATCTCCTAGCAAACGAGGTGGAGGGCGGCTCGAACATAGGCACACTCACTTGGGGAGTTAGGTGATCTACCAAACTATGCTATTAAATAATGTCCAATTTAAAGTGTTCCGTCAACTTATAAATAAGAAGAAATTTAAAATGTAGACTTGGATAGTCTTGCATTTAGCACCATGTTTTTTCAAATTTAAAATTGAACACCACAAGAAAGAAAGAAAAGGTCTATCAAGCTTGTCACCAAAATAGTCACATTGTGCAAATCCAAAAAACAGTGATCACACAGTCACATTCTGAACAAAAGCAACTTCACATATCATTTGCTCAGACCATCAAAATGATGACAAAATAATACATTAATTTCTCACTCCATCCCTCACATTCCCAGTACACTTTTCACTGTTCATGTTTGCTTCACAACCAAATGACTAAAATACTCTCAAATCTAAACTTCAATAGCAGCACTCTGCTATTTACCCCAATAAAAAGTTAAAAAAAAAAAAAAAAAGAAAAAAGAAAAAAGAAAAAAAAAGTAAAAATAATTCTTCATGTGGTATATATACTAATTCAACACTAATGCATAAGCAGAGCATCCTAACTTCAAGCCAATTGCAGATTTGGTAGAGCACCTATTAGGTTAAACTTCTCAATACCATGTGTATATATATATATACACATATAAAACATTGCATTGGATGAGTGCTAGAATTCATTGAATGTCAAATGTATTTGGTTGTTTAGCTTGAGCGAGCATCTGGACAACTTCTCTCATGGTAGGCCTCTCCACACTGTGCTCCTGAACACACAGCATCGCGACGAAGAACACCTGCATCGCCTCGCCTAGAGGGACATTCTCTAGTCTCTCATCCAAGATTTTCACCACCCCTTCTTTGCAGCAGTTTGTTCTCATCCTTGCCCATTGAACAATGTCCAACCCTTCTTCTCCGAAGTCCCCAACCGGTCTTCTTCCTGTTATGAGCTCTAAAAGCACCACCCCATAGCTGTACACATCACTCTTCTCATCAACCTTTAATGTGTATGCATACTCTGTCACATGAAGGCATACAAAGGCCAATTGTTAGTTATAATTGAAGGCAAAAGGATGTGTGTGTGTGTGTGTGAGATATATATATATATATATATATATATTACAGCCTGTTTTACCATTCAAAAGGTTCATTTAGGTCTCTAAATTGTGATGAATTAAGTGTTTTACTGTTATTTTGCATAGAAAAAAAGAGAAAATTAACTCTTCACCTAAGGAAAAGTAACAAGTAGCGTATATTAAAAGGAGAGATAGGTATGCTTTATGTCTCTATTGTGTATACACATGTTTCTCTTTCTAGGGTTCGAGAAATTAAAGCATAGATCCCAATCAAGATTCTTGAGTTGGGATACTGTGGAATTTGGATTGATTGCCTTTTTTTTTTTTTGGTTTGGTTACTTGCATGCTGACCAGTTTTGAGTCAAAAAAGTTGTTTGTGATTGGTCTGAATGACCATTGTTTTATTGTTTTCCAAGAAAAGAAAAGGGTCACTGCCTGTTGGTGTGAAAGAGCAAAAGAAAAAGCTCGAGGGGAGAATTTTCCTTTATGTTAGTGGTGGTGCCTTTGCCTTTCTTGGAGTCCACATGACTTGTTTGCTTTCCTACTTTGGTCCAAAGAACAGTGCATGGTATATACTATTCATTTTTTTTCATCTATATTTCAAAGAATTCAATAAAATTATCCAAACTTTTTAATTGAATCACCTCAGGTGGTCCTATCTATTTCATCAGGGCATAAAACAAAAATGCACTAATTACCCAGTATATGTCTCACTTTGCAGAGCTTTTACCATTGTAATGGCACTCAAAACTCTCAGAAAACATGGGGGTTTCACTTAGTGACATGTCTCCTAACTAGAACTAGTTATGATTTTTCATGATGAATGTCTCAAACAGAAAAATTTATGGAGTGAAAGTGTTACCTGGAGCGATATAACCATATGAACCGGCAATTGCAGACATGCACTCTGATGTTCCGGTGCCTTGCAAGAACTTGGCAAGTCCAAAATCTGCTACATGTGCCTCAAAATCAGAGTTTAGTAAGATGTTGTTGGACTTGACATCGCGGTGGATTATCAAAGGGGAGCAATCATGGTGCAAGTAGCTGAGGCCTGTTGCGGCTTCCATGGCAATTTTCAGCCTAGTGTCCCACTTGAGATACCCTCCTCTCTTTCCATGGAGAACTTCACCTAAGCTTCCATTAGGCATGTACTCGTAAACAAGCAAATTGGTCTCTTTGTTGGAACAAAATGCCATCAATCGGACAATATACCTGTGTCGAATCCTACCCAACGTCTGGATTTCTGCAGATAGGCCATTGTCATGAGAAGAGCCTTTGCTTATTCCCAGCAACTTCTTCACTGCTACTTGTTCTCCATTCGGCATTGACCCTCTATAAACAATCCCAGCTCCACCTCTTCCTATGACATTGTTATCCTTCAAGCATTCTAAGATGTCTTCACTTCCAAAGCCGAGCTTTTGGAATGCTGTGAGCTTCCATGAATTGGAATTCTTCCTCACCTTCCGAGTTTTGATGATTGCCAAACCAGCGAAAACCAAAGAACAAAGTAAGAGCCCCAAAGCGAAAATAAGCTTGAATCTTCTGGGGACATGAGTTTTGTTGCCACTTTCGTTGCTCATTCCTAACGGTGAGTTTGATGAATAGTTGCATGGATTGTAGTACGATCCACAGAGATGAGAATTGCCGGTGAAGGAAGTGGAGTTGAAGAATGAATACTGACCATTTTGAGGTATCCAACCAGAGAAGTTATTGTGAGAGAAGTCTGCTGATGTGAGGCTCTTCATGGATCCAATTTCAACAGGAAGGCTTTGGCTCAAGTGATTCCAAGAGATGTTTAGATAATTCAGTATGTGAATATGAGCAAGTTCAACAGGGATTGGACCTGAGAGTTGATTTTGGCTCATATCTAGATAAGTCAAAGTGAGACAATTACCAATCTCAGGAGGGATTAGGCCAGAGAAGTTGTTTCTACTCATGTCCAGCTTCAAGATGCTTCTCAACCGCGCTATATCAGATGGAATGGTACCCGTGAATCGATTCCCACTTAACAGAAGAATCTTCAACTCTGAGAAATTCCCAATTGAGGTTGGAAGATGCCCGGATAAGCGATTGTTTGAAAGATTCAGCTGGTTAAGTTTTGAAGGTAGCTTGCTTGTCTGTTCTGCGATTCGCCCAGTGAGGTAGTTGTTCTGCAGCTCCAAGAGGGACAGCTGAGGCAAGAACAGGAAGCCAATTGGTATAGCTCCACTTAAGTAGTTCTGCCCCATTCTCACTCTCAAGAGAGTCTGACATTGACCAAGATCACCAGGCAAAGGCCCAAACAGAAAATTGTTGAGCAAAATCAGGATTTTGAGCCTCCTTCCAAGGCAGAGAGACTCTGGGACTAATCCGGTGAGCTTATTCGTGGAAAGGTCAACTTCAGTCAGCTTACCGTTCTCTCCAAGCTTCGTAGGAATGGATCCAGTGAAGTTGTTCTGCCAAAGCTTCAGGACTTCCAACTTTGGCAGCTCGGCTAGGGATTGGGGAATCTCCCCATGGAACTTGTTGATGAATAGGTTCAAGAGGGTGAGCTCTTGGAGAGCAGAGAACTCAAGTGGGATCTCTCCTGTGAGCCCATTAAGCGAAAGATCAAGAGTTTTAAGGCTTGTCAAATTGCCTAATTCGGGTGGGATTGAACCGTTGAGCTGATTCGTTTGCAGGAAGAGTGTGTCCAACTTGTTCAGTTTGCCTAGCTCTGGTGGAATTGGACCCTCCAACAAACAACTCGAAAGGTCTAGATGAACCAAGTTGACAAGCTTACCAAACTCAGGTGGTATGCCACCAACAAATCGATTGTAGTAGCCCAAAAACAGCTGCTCAAGATTAGTAAGGTTGCCAAGCTCAGCAGGAATAGGACCACTCAAGTCATTTCCTGCAAGGGAGAGGTACTTGAGCTGCTCTAGACCACCATAGCTTGGTGGGATTTTGCCTGCAAAGTAGTTCCCGCCAAAATTCAAGTGCTGAAGCCTTGGGAGTTCTGTGATACCACCCATTGGAAGCGCACCAGAGAAGGTGTTGTCATAGGCATCCAGCACCACGAGCTCCTTCAATCGGGAGAAATCCCAGTTCAGGCTCCCATTGAACTGGTTGCTGGACATGTTGAGGACCTGCAGCCTTGCTAGGTTGTGAATATTGGGAGGAAAAGTACCCGAGAAACTGTTTCCCGCGACAGAAACATTGACAAGAGTTGGGAGATCAGTGATCACAGGGGAGAGAGAGCCAGAGATGTTGAGATTGGATATGTCAAGTGAAACTACTGATCTGTTCTTGCTGTCGCATTTGATACCGGTCCAATTAGAGCAGAGGGACGCGTAGTTGGACAATTTCCAACTATCAAGAGAAGGTGTGGGAGGTTCAAAAGATTGTTTTAGAGAAACAAGGACTGTGGCTTGCCTTCTATGAGATAGAGTATGTGAAGAAGTTGAATAACAAGAAGTGATCAAGAAGACAAGAAGGAGAGAAAAGAGGAAGACAAGCCTTGTAGTACCATAGATGGCCATTGCAAGTGATGTTGTGGAGTTTGAGAAGGTGGGTTCTACTGAACCCCAATCCTTTTAATCAACACTGAAGAAAAGGAGGAGCCAATTTAAAGAAATCCAAATATGCAGAGAGAGAGAGAGAGAGAGGGCCTTGGATGCTGTTGTGTTATGCAACTTTGGCTTTCATTTTATTTGCAATCTTTTACTGTATATTCATCTTTAACTTTATGAAGAAAAGCAAAAGCAATGCTCTAAATGCATAAAGATGCATTGCAACAGACCGTTTGATCAACCAAGATTCTTAAATCTGTTACTTTTTCATTTGAACTTACTTAAAAGCCCATAATCTCCTCCATTTATTGCTGAGTTTATCAGGGCAAAGCAATCATAATTTGGGACTTCAATTGTTGCCCATGTTCTTGATCTCAGTAATCTAACACAACTTGGTTAATTGGAAACTTGTCTTGGGTAAAGGAGCTAGTCACGCCACTACGGGTCTGGGGAGGGTTTGATGTACACAATGCCACCTTCACATGCAGAGAAGTTGATTCCTATTTCGAACCTTAATTTTCAATAAACTTATATTAGGTACGATGCTTTGAAATTGGAATTGAACTAAATTTCTTACAATTCCAATTCCAAGAATTTGGTGCTCCAAACATAACTTTATTTTTTGTATTAGAAGCATCAAATTCAACCCAAGAAACTTGAAGATGCAGTCAACTCAGTGGAATTCCAAATAGGTCAGGTCTACTGAGTTTAATATTAAAAATGGTTTAAGAAAGAATAAGATCAACTTTGGGCATGTAGAGTACTCTTTAGTTGTATTTATTATATATATATATATATTCACTTTCTAGGTAGACAGATACCTTGGTCCAGGAGACCATCTTTATTTTAGAAAGAAATAAGTACTAGCATTTGAGAATCCGGCCCTTCTCACTTTAGACCACTTCAATCAAAGGAAAAGCAAACCTCAAATTTGAGGGTTTGAAGGATTCTTTTCTTTCCTCTCTCTCAAAAGAATTCTTTGAAACATCTTTGAATGCTTTGCAATTAATACTATGTTCAAGCTCTTAACTAAATAAATAATCTTGAAATATTTATATGCATATCACAAGTGGATAAAAATTTCTCATTTGATAGTAGTACACTTTTGTTGCAGTTGATAATTTTATTCTTCCCATGTGTGTATGATAATTTGATCATTGCACTACTTTTTTTTACTTTAATATATCGATGTATCCAATGCCATAGGCATCAGTTTCAAAAAATTTAAGGTTTTTGAGTTGGGAATGCTAAACATTGGAGGTCTTTCATGTGTTCTTGACTTGTTTAATAGTTTGTGTGTTTTTGAGGTCCATTAAGGGATGGCAACGGGCGGTTTGGGGCAGGAGTACACTGCCCCGTCCCGTTGTCATCCCGAATTCGCATGAATTTTCATTAATAAAAATTATCTCTACCTAAATAAGCTAAACGATCTTCCAAAACCGCTATAAATGAGGCGGGGTGGGGCGGGTACCCATTCCCACAGGACAAATTACCATCCCTAGCTATGGAAGTGTTTTGTTTTGTTTGTTTGTTTTTTTTTTTTTTTTTTCAACATTAGGTATAAGAACTGGCTTTGTACTAATCAGAAACATAAATATTGACCTTTCACTTGGACAATTGTCCTTGCTGTAATGTCCTACAAAATACAAACTATTATATATTACACTCCCGTTCAATGATACGTTGTTATTTCTAAGCGTTTATTAAAGAGGTACTTCATTTTCGGTGTCTCCGTCCTTGGAATAACTTTGACCTAAAACTTTATTACTACCAATTTTAATTTCATAATTTTCAAACATGGATTTTGTGGTACAACTTTTAAAGGTCAAGGAGGGAACATTTTAAATTGTGTTTCAATGGAAGAAATACTCAATTAATTGTCCCCTATTGTAGGGTTGATTGAATCCATAGCTCTGTGCATTGTGATAATGAGAGTGTTCCATGGGAAGACATTTCGTTATCATGTGTGGAACCTTCTCTTGTCCCTCCTACCCACATGCTCAATCATATTCACCACTCATGGAACAAGCGGGAAAGTACATCATTTTTGGGTTATTTCCTTGCTTAGTAACTGGTGGAAGGTAGTTCTTTCCCATCTCTATCTCATGGTTCACAATTTCGGTTACGGTAACACTCGTGATTGCGACGTAACAGATTTGAATGAATATTAGTATAAACCGGATGGTTTATGGGGATGTGTAATGGTATCGAATGCGTAAAAAGTGATTACAGACGATACGTCGCGTATTGACCGCTACGTACGGTGAACCATGCTCTATCTCTCTCTATACGTACAAACAAACATACATATATATATATACACACACGTTCATCTGGATCTAATATACTTTAAATTAACAGTGCAACACAATACATCATGAATACAATACTATATGACACATTTAAATTTAAAATATAACACTCATGAAATATATTATACTGTGTTGTAACATTGCGTTTTAAATCAAGAATTCAATATTTTTAGATAATTGAAGCATTGTCGATTTAAAGTTGTTACGCATTGTATTATTGATTTAAATGTATTGGTGCGCATTGGACCTAAAATTGCTACCACCTCCCGCTTTCTTTTTATTGTACTTGAATAAATTATACACTATTACACTTGCATCGTCTAGAGTATATCATGATGATTACATGAGCCCTCCATTATTACATAAAATAAAAAAAAATTTACTCTCCTCCCATGAGTGATACTGACGAGTATAGGTACAACTTGGCAAATTTTTATTTATTTATTTAGTTAATACCTAAATACATTTATCTTTTTCTGAAACTTAAATTCCTGATTTTTTTTGAAAAATAAGAGGCTGATACCGCTACCAATCAAAAAATTAACTTGTTTAAATCACCAAAATTAAATTACAAATAACTTATTTCCTTACCCAAAAAAAAAAAAAATTATATACCATATTTGCCCTTTTACTTTAACTCCAATTTTAATTAAAATAATATTATATAACGAATCGTCCGAACATTTATACAAGAAATGCCAATGTAATTTTTGAATACTCAAAAAGTAAAATAAAAAATTATTTAAAATTTGTACAATCTAACAATTGTGATCGTTTTGATGTAAGTAAAATGATATCAGCCATATCATGACTCAACAAATTTATTTGATTATGCTCGATCCACTTCATTAATTCGAAATGTATGATGGATTCCAAACCAAACAAAGGCCAACAACTTTATTTATATATCATATATGCATCACCAGATTTGGGTAGAACAACCATATCCGATTTAAAGCAGCTTTAATTTGACGTCCCAGTAACATGTACAAGATTGAGAGACGACCAATGAGGTGTATTTAATGTGCAATGGTGTTGATGTGTTTTGAGAGACATTACATTTGCAATTAGAGGTGGTGCCTAATCAAGTCTCCATAATGGAAGCTTTAAGCTCTGAGTCGATGTGACTTTGCTCCATTCTCAAATCCTTTGTCACGAGACCAGTACAATTGACATGTTTAAGATAGGGTGTGTTGGATTCAACCATTGTGGAGAGTGACACAAGTAATTAGTGTATACATATATGTTTCATATGTAATGTCATGCGTCATGAGTCATGACTAAATGAATTGGTAGGTTGCTCTTCTTGAAAATAGTGATATCTTGATCCGGGTATCTAACTCTTGTAAAATATAAATTCAATTTGGATCGGGTATTGGAAATTTTTTTTTGATACGAAATAATTTTTCGAAAATTCGTATTGGACTCATTTTAAAACTTGAAAGGACTTCAACTTGGATTCATTATGTTACCAATTAGGTAATTTCATGTTTTACCTTTAATATTCTTTTTATATCTTGGAATACATTCATTCTTTGTAGAAAGACACTATTTTTTTTTTTTGGAATTTTTACATATAAATGATACTATTGGTTTATATTTATCATTTGATAGAGTCAAAGTTTAATAGTTTCAAAAAAATAAAATTGACCAAAATGTTGACGTAGATATGAAAAAATATTGTTCATTCTCACATAAGTACTACTTTTTGTGCACGTAGGTACCACTTTTTGTTTTAGGTATAGAGGTCCTACTTTTTGTGCATCATGTGCCACTTAAATGTGGTACCTGATGATAAAAAGTAGTATTTATGTGCCGAAATGTAGTACCTCTGTGAGAGTAAACAATATTTTTCTATGTTTTTGTTTTTCGAAATTATGAAACTTTGATTCCATTAAATAATAAATATGGGGTACTATTTATATGTAATAATTCTTATTTTTTATACTTTTTGCTATTAAATTTATTCAATTCACTATTTGTTAGTTTTTTTTTATATTTTAATTTTTTTTTTTTTTATCCTACTATTGTTCAAATTCACCTCCTCTCCTAAATAAATTTTGTATGAGTTGGGTGTTTTTCTACTACTTGTTCAAAATTATACTTTTGACTCACAATATAAGTTTCAAAAGTTTGGAGTATGCTTGGTTCAATTGTGGAAAAACAGTTTTTTATTATTAAACAATTTAAAAATTGACGAGAGTACGAACATCAGTTAAATAATGACTTGTTTTTGTATAATTGTTCTTTATAATTGTCTAAAAATTATTTTTGTTTTTTTAAAGTTATTTAAATTATTTTTTTAAAAAAATGATCTGATCCTTGTTTCCGCTTCAATAGTCAAGACCCTTGGGGCCTTGACCTAGTCATTATTGTGAAAAAGGAGTTCAAATCAAGAGTCACGAGTCAATGCTCCTATTCTCAGTGCTATTTTTTCTTTTTCCCTCTTTTTTGCCACACATTTTGTTTTCTATACTTTTTTTTTTTCTTTTCTTTTTGTGGGGTCCACTGTGCCCATAACCCTATCAGGATAGCATTAAAAAAACTCATAATGGAACATGACTTCGGATAATCTGACCTCATGTTATTTTGGTACCGACCGTGTGGTGGGAATAATTGGGTTGCTTTTCGTGTCTAAGTGGTGCCGTATTAACTCTCCAATCACTATATATATATATATATATATATATATATATATATTTTAAAGTCATTTTCTGATCAATTGAGAACCTCCAATCGCAGCATTTTCAGATTTCGTTAGAATCCATTAATTCTTTCAATGTTACACATTAGTCTTAGTAGTTGAGGGCTT